ATATATATATATATATATATATATATATATATTTAAGTTTATACGGAATGATAAGTATAATAGCGCTAGTTAGACTTCAAACAACATTCCTTGTTCAATACACTTATATTACTTTTGAACTTCAAAATCAACATTGGTCAACAAATACTCTTTCAATCCTAATTTCTTAGGTGGAAATAAAACCTCCTTATTGACATTTAACAAAACAAGTTGCATCAAGTGATTTTAACCCATAAAAAGTATTAGAAAACCATGTTCATTTATAAATACGAATCACTGAGAGCTTTACTTCTATTCAAAAATTAAGAAAGCATTTCTCAATCACCATTAAAATCATAAATCATGATACGAATGATCAAGTCGTGTCAATTTGAGTTTCATTTTGCAAAAGCAAACCTTCATTTCCTTTCATTTCAAATTGAGATTCAAAACAAAATTGAAGCAAAACTAAGTTTACAAATAGACCCAACTGAATCAAAAAAAAAAAAAAAAAAAAAAACAAAAAAATCATTGGACGAGTTTATTAGATCCTATATCCCAAGTCTCAAATTCTCAACTGAAAATATGCCTTTCTTGGGGGCAGGCTTGAAATTTGATCGAGTGTGTTTGTGCAACTATGTTTAACGTAACTCAAAAGTAACACTACACTTGCTTTAACTTTTTCCGTTGATATGTTTTTCAAACACACACTACCTCTTGATTTCCGCAGACAGAGCTTCCTACGGAACACCCTTTAATGGAAGAACAGTTGTAAGTAGTAAATTGAGAACAAAAATCACATTCCTGGACAATAAACGTAACGTGTAAAGGCAAAGGCTATCTTAAAATTATTGAGAAAATTCATGGACGCCGTACGGCGCATGATCAAATCCAAATTACACATTCCAGTTGAAAACTGCTGATAATTCCATGTGACTGAGAATATAATAAAATTTATTATCTCTCAAAGGAGCAATGCCTACTCGGATGACGACAGATGGTCACTCATAATATAGCCGTAAAAGAAAATAAATTACAGGATGATGTTACCAAGATCTGTACTAGACAGCAGCTTCGCCTTGCAAGGATCCCCGAGCAATCTCTAGGGCCTCCTCCACAGAAGTTGCGTTTTGAAGTTTGGCTTTATCAATCAGAGGCTGACTTCTTGCAAGTTTAGGCAGGAGTTGAAATTCCTGAGTTAAAGAAAAAAACAAAAACTCAGCATTAGGTTTTCTCTTTCCATGAGCCAGGCAAGGGCAAAAACAATAAAAATAAATAGGGTTTATTGAACAAAAATTTCAGTCTTAGATATAGAGGGAGAGCCACTATCAGACTAATTTTGAATATAAATTCTGTGATTAATGAGTGTAATTTTATAGAAATAGGACTTAGGACCTATTTAATTAAACTTTGTAAACACTTACAAGAGAAGAAAATAAGATTAATTGAGTTTTTCCCATAAGTTAAAATCAACTTCATAACTCAACTTTTAATGAACTTTGATCATTTAACTTCTCCAAAAGCTAAAGATCATGTTTAGTTTATGAGAGAAACTCAAATAATTTTACCTTTTTATTTTCTTTCCAACAAGTACTTACAAAAAAAAAATTCAAATGAACTGAGCCTTAATAGAGCCATGTTAACCAGAATAACTGCTGAACAAGTGTTATTCTCTCTAAATGCACTCAACAATACCAATAAAAACTAAAGGGACTTTGCCAATTTTCTATAAACATGCCACTATATGTTATGGCAAACAACCTCAAATGTATCTATAATATAAAATCTATCATCCATAATCTATAATATATATATATATATATATATATATATATATATATATATATATATAAAAAAAAAGA